ACAGTCACAGAATTTATAGTGCTAAACATGAAATCTATAATCCAGATACCAAGAATTGGTTGTGGTGTGGGATGTTTTCATCTATGTGGATATTTTCTTATTTGTAGCAACTTTGGTGCATCTTCCAGTTCTGGTACATTTATCTCATGAAAGGGAATGTGAGTGTGCTTTTGAATGGCCTTGACAATTGTAGCTCTCCTTACTACCAGTGTGGCATACTGAGAAAAGCTCTTCTTTGATCCAAGAGGAAAGCACTGGATTTTGGAAGCTATCATCTTTTCCAGTATACTCTTTTGCATTGAAGATGGGTATGGCCACACTGCAGGATTTCAGGATAAGACTTTAGCCATCCTACTCTGGGGCAAGAATGTAATGATTATTCCTGATGGTTTGAGAGCATCTGGATATTGACAGCTTTTCGGTGTAAGGAGCAGTTGTTTATCTCATTGCAAAAAGGGAGGTTAGGTAAGAGAACACCTGAATCTTAATAGGTTTTGGATCAAGCTTTGTTTGGTAATGCAGCTGAGAAATGCACTGTGGTGTTTGGAACTGGCATGCAAAAGTCTAATTGAGAGATAAAGTCTAATTGAGAGATAGTAGATGTTAAATCATCTGTCAGTTACTACACTCTTAATAGGAATGAAGATTAACATGAAGCACTGCTGGTGTAGGTGCACACACCACACAGAGTTAAACATACGAACAGCAGGCTCACACTGTGCTTACTACAGATGTCTGAATGAGTGAGTGCCTGTGGGCTGGAGCTGCATGTCTTGTGGCTTTCACTCTGCTCCATTGGGAAGTCTTCACTCCTTTTGTTTTTATCCTTTTCCAACTCCAGTACTTTCAAGCACACAGCTCCCATCCCCTGACCTAACAGCTTCATTGAAGTGCATTCCAGCCCCATGATTTCATGGTACGAGGAAGAACTCCCCTGCCACGCTGCTATGCTGCCCGCTGCTTCTCACGGAGTGAACAAACAGGGAACATAAACTCTCTCCAAAGGAGCAATGTTCTCTGTATATTTTTAGTGTGAGAAATCCAAGATTCATTTGAGGGTGTTTTGTGTAGGCTTTTTTTTAATATAGACTTCTGCTAACACAATGGAATATTTCATGCCACCCTATTTGCTGTAACTTGTCGTGCTTTATGTTGTTAAATGGAATCAAAGGAGTTAAAGATGAAAGAGTTCTAGTCAACTGGTCCCTCAGCTGGGAGCCAATGTGAGTCCTTTGTAATGTATTTGTTAGTGCTTTACTCAGGTTCAGCATAGCTCAGTTTTCATTATTGGATTTACTTGTTTCTGCAAATTCCATACTTTAGGTTAAGTAATTGCTGAGCTTAGACTCAGTATAATACTGCTACTGTTTGTTTCTCATGTTTAACTTTCTATTTATTGCCCTTATACTGAACAACCCTTTTATAAGTAGTTGTTTACCATTCGAACATACAGAGCACCATTAAAGATGTCATGCTTGCCTTCACAGGTATTCTCTTTACTGGATAGACAGAGAACTTTTTTCTCTCTTTATATGAAACTATGTCCATTTTATGTTGTACTTGGGTGTTTTCTTTTCAACATAGAGTGTATCACCAGATGCTAACTTATGTAGTATTACAACAAATCTACTTTTCATTAGCTCATTGTGAGCCTTTGAATATTCAGAGTTAGTGCAGTATTTGAATGTACAGGTTATGTTAAGAGACTGATATCTTGGATTTTCTTGGTGAAAGATGTTCTCAAACTGCCTATTTAAATGTCACTTTTGCATTTTTATGTATTGAGTGTATTATACTTAAATTCGGGGACATCCAATATGTTCATAGTGGCATAATCTACAAACTGGATGGTGATCTGGGAAGAGAGAAGACAGATAAAGGCAGATAACATGTTATGGGAAGCATATGAAGCAGGGAACTGTAGCTGCTGTGTGACTTGGGGACTGACAAGGTTTCTAGACAGAACTGTTCTCCACAGAGTCAGGGTGTTCAGCTCTTTTTGGGTCATGGTATTGACACATGAGCTGATCTCTGCTGACTGCACATAAATTCCTGCTTTCTGGTATAACAGGCAGTTACCCCAAGGGGTAGAGCTGCTTCTGCACTGAAGTAGCACTAGCTTCAGGGTCCCAGGGAAAAGAAGGAATAACATCAAGAGTCATTTCAGGTGATGCTGTCTTTGACTAGGCTACACTTGAAAGATGTGAAGGTTTCTGCACCATGCTTTAACTTGGTCATCCTAGCATACTTTGCCTGATGCACATCCACAGTGGATTTCTAGCACATTATAAAGTTTCTTAGCTTTTCTAACTGGGCAGGTAGGAAACATTTTATACAAAGTCACTGGAGTCAAGGCACTAATAGCTTCATTAGTAATAATAGTAATAACAGTAATAACCTCACCATATGGCATTCTCTGTGCCTTCTTACTGTCTTGATACACCATGCAAGAACTCTTTTGGGAAGCAAGGGGTGGAAAGCACAAGTGGAGGAAGAAGAGGATACAGGAGGGATGAAACTGTCCAATAAGGAGATAGAGAGTAGGGCTGTGAAAAGTGTAGCCTGTGAAAAGAGTGTGGTTAAACAGGCATATAAATGGACACTGGAAAGGAAGCAGCAGTATGGGGAGAAACAACTGTGGGAAGGAGTATCAGGATTTGTACTGAGTAAGGGGAGACAGGAAGATGAGGTTATGTGCTCTGATAAATAACCGGCTGTTCTGGGGTCCCGTTAGGGGCAGAACACCATCTTAGGGATCATCTATTTATAGCCTAATTTTCTTCTTGATTTCTTATTTTCTTGGTGAAGAGCAGGAATATGGGAAGCAAAAGACAAATGTTATGCCTGTAAAGTACCTGTTGCATTGCCTAGCAACTGCTCTAAGCCCATAGTAATAGAAGTACAGCTCTGAAGCCAAGTGTATTCCAAGTTACCCAAGTTTCTGCAAGACTTCACTTATTTATGTACGTTGGAATGCTGTATGCCTCCTTCTGTAGGTGAGCACCTGGCCCTTCTCAGTGTTAAGAAGAAGCTGTCTGCAGTCCTTAGGCCAGATAGTAGCTTAGTGGGAGGTGAGTGGGTTCTGTGAGTGGTGAGAAATGCTCTGATGTAGGTTCCCAGGAAAACAAACAATCAAATGAGATTGATTAACATAATTCCATTTTTGTGTGATGGAGAAAAGAGGCATATGTGGTCAAGGTCTGGAGCAGAAGGACTGGAAGTTGGAATTGCTGTTGGAGGAAATGGTGTGCTTTTCATTGCAGTGACTACCTTGCAGCTCCTGTGCTGGAGGTTCTCCAAGAGCACTTAGAAACCGACTCAACAATATACTAGAAGTCAAGAAGATATTTGGGATGGGGTGAAGGGGTTACCACCAAGACTTAAATGTGTAGTCATTTATGTGAGCAGGAGAAATTAGCATGGCAGCTAGCCCAAACCTGCTCTTGCCTGTCAGCACAAACACTTAAAACGTTGGATAACAAAATTGTCATGATCTGAAAAACAGGCTTACTTTGAAAGCAGAAAATTTTTCAGCAAATTTTGAAGGAAATAGGCAAGGCTTTTCTGACGTATAGATCATGTTTAAAAAAAAAGTTCCTATTCTGCTTGGAAACACTTTCTCATTAATTTTTCTTGAGTCTGAGTCAAAATTAATTAAGTCAGTTTGAAGTCCTTTTTTTAATAGTTAAAAATAATGATACTTGGCCTTGACTTTTACTGCCGTTTTGTGCGGTTTAATAGTTGTATGACTTTTTTTTCTCACACACACATTTGTAGAAGATTCACAGAAAAGAAAACAGACTACATCAGTAAGTAAATTCTCCCTGCTAAGTTATAGATGTTGCTCATAAAATTTAGCAGGAAAAAAATCATGCAGCCACAGGCATAATGAAGTTGATGTTCCTGTCGCACAACAGACTCTGAGGTTTGTATTGTGCAGCTTTGTGACTTGGACTCCTTGCTGAAGTTTTGGGGGACCCTCATTTGTAAGTCGAGCAGTCTTGCATGCTCTTACAACTTGGCATGTAACAAGCATTTACACATAAAACATTGCTGAGCTACTTCTGAATATGGTGGAATTCTTTGGAAAGGTCGGGGAGGTAATTGATCATTTGCTGACAGCTTGGGACTCTGAGAAAATGGTCAGATGGAGGACTGGGATGCAGGAAAACAAACTTTCTAAGATGGTAACTGTCACATAGCCAAGCTATACATGTTTCAAACTTTTTAATCTTTGCTCACAGTCTCAGCTTCTTAGTCGTTTTTTTCCGTTTCTCTGTGAACTCTCTTCAGATGCTGACATTTTACTGATCCTGAAGCATGGACAGTATTCCAGGTGTGATCTTGAGCTATAGCAGTATTTCTTTGTAGAGCCCTTTTAAAAACTCTACTGCTGCCAGGATAGGTAGTTTCAGAACTCTGATGATCTCTTTCATTATTCTTTAACCTGTAGGTCAAGGACTAGATTTCTTTCAGGAACCGCTCAAAATGTTCTCTGTAGCTAGAAAAATAAGATTTCAGCGTTCATGGGAGTTAAGATGGCAATCTACTGAACATTGCATGAGTTTATAACAAAAATGTTTGAATTTCTCTACACTGTGATCCTAAGTTTCTATATCAGAATAGATATAGAAACTGAAATGCAGGTATAGAAACTATAGCAGATATAGAAACTAAAGAGAAACATACAACTTCAACACAAAAGAGGCTGAAAGAATCTACTACTTGGTTTTTGAAATCTGCTTTTCACCAGTCCTGTCTACATCTATAGTTTTTTGCATATGCAGTCTGACAACTTAAAATTATGGTAGTTGTCAGTCTCTCTGCAGTAAGATAAAGTATTTTAAATGACTTACTGCAATTATCAATCCTGAGGTAATTTATACATGCTGAGGAGAGAAGACACAGACATAAATGAGGCTTTTTAAATGAGTTTTAAATATAAAGGAATCTGTCCAAAAAAAAAGGTGTGTGTTAATTTTACCAATGCTTTGCCACAGAATATGGTCGTGGATCGGATTTTCTCTGGTATCCAGCCAACTGGGACACCTCATCTGGGTAACTACCTTGGAGCCATTCAGAACTGGGTGAATCTACAGGAAGAGTACAGCTCAGTGCTGTATAGCATTATGGACATGCACTCTCTCACCATGCCCAAGGAGCCAGCTGTCCTGCGCCAGAACATACTGGACACCACTGCTGCCATCCTTGCCTGTGGTATTGACCCAAAGAAGTGTTTCCTGTTCCGACAGTCGCTGGTTAGTGCTTTCCACGCTTGTTAATGAATGAGCATCTTTGTGTTGGTGGTCCTAGAAAAATCAGCAGTGTTGGATTTTAAACTTATCCTTTGCTGTGATTTTGAAGTGGCTGGAATCATGACTAAAAAGTCCGCATTGCAAATTTCTGAAGCAGAGCTAGGTGTTTGTGCAGGTTATAAGTAAAATACTGAAAAGACCTGTTAGGAGACCATTAATTTATCTATAAGTCTCACTTTAGTCGCATAAGGTTAACTCATAAATGCATAAATGTAGTCCGTGTATCCATAAAAACATGTAAAACATGTTTCTATGGTTTTGTATCAGCTCTTGTCACTTATTCTGCCAGCTGTACAGTATCTCCAACAAGTGACTGATATGGTAAGTTTTGTATCAGTTCCACCATGGTTATCAGGGGGTTACCTCTTAGGGATTTTTTTTTCCCCTTCTTTGACCATAACCTGCTTTTCATATGTACCTTTTTCCATGTGATCTGATAATTCATATGCAAATTATTTGGTTCTCTTGACCAAGGAGTACTGGGCTTACCGTCCTACTTGGCATATGTCACCCTAGTCTGTCACATGCTGTATTTTCCTGGAACACAATTTTTTGCTCAATTAACTTTCTGTTACTGACTCTAAACTGGCAAACTTCTGTAATTTCCCACAGAGACAGATGTGTCATAGCTTCTGCTCGTGAGAAGATGTCCTTAAATGGATGTCCAGGACTGCAAAGGTGGTGTGCACAGTGTATGAAATTTATCAGTATAAGATGAAATGGTATTACATTCCTCCTTTGAACATGGTTCTTCACAGGCAGAGTTTCCTGTGGTTATCAAACTGCAAATGGCAATCATAGCTCCATGTCCCTGGTAGATAATGAAAATATGAAGACAGATATACTTCCTGCTTCACTTTTCCTCAGTATTAAAAGAAAAATTCTAAATATGTTATCTCAGAATTTTAGTGAAGATATGTTTAAATTAATTTTTTTTTTTCAAATCCAATTAGCATTTTAAATAAGTTACCAGCTTGGGTTTCAATTTGGCTCTCTGACTTAACTTCGTCATTGAGGCTGACATTAAGTGGAATAATCTCAAGGTGAGTTACAAGCCAGTGATTCAGTAAAAATCAGTCTGAAGGTTTGGGGTTTTTTCTTGCTTTCAAGCAACTGAACAATTAAATTAGTTCCAACACAGGATCATTGACTAGATGTACTCATCATAGAGTAGAGATGATTTGCAGGTTATGGTTAGAGAGGAATAAAGTCAAGATTTATAAAACTGCAAGTGAAATGGAGAAAATAGGGAACAGTTGTTTTATCCACTGAAGAATGTGAACTGACAAGTATCAAAACAAGGTAACACCTGATAGATTCAACACAAGCAAAACAATGCTGCATTTTGTGAAACTCATGATCAGTCTACAGAACCCCTTGTCACAGGATGCATTGCATGCTGAAATGTGCATGAATTCAGAAAAAGAGTCAACAAATTAATCTAAAAAATCATTTGGGGACTGTTAATTTCTGAGATTCCAGCTCTGCAGGAAGTGCTGAAATCACAGATGGGAGAGTATCCGTGCTTTTCTGTACTTAGATTCTTTTTGTTGTTGTTGTTGACTGCTGTCAGAGGTGGATATTTGATCAGTTCCAGTACTGTTTTTTGTATATTCCTACAAGTTTAAGAGCTAAATTAGTGCCATTCCAGGTCTTGCTAAAGCCAACACACAGACTTCCCTTGAAGACCATACATTATCAGTGAGGATCTTTACCTTGCAGGCAGCCACAGAAAGCATGTTGTATCTTTCATAATATCATAATGCAGAGACTGAGTCTTTGAGTCCCCAAAGAGAAAGTATCAGACTCAGAAAATGATGAGAGGACAGGACTGTGTGTGATGCATCTCCTGTACAGTGATGCTTTTACCAGTACATCCAACAACCAATGAAAACCTTACATAGTTCAACCTGTTCAGCTTTATCTTCCACCAAATATGATTCTGGTTTATCTTATGGTGGTTAGGTTGGCCTCTGTTAAATAGACTACCTTTATATATTAATTTTTCCATGTAGCTTTATCTGTCCAGCTTTAATGGTGGTTCTTATTTAATCTAAACCATTAGATTAAATGTGTGGGCCGTGTCTAATGTCTTGAACCATATTCTTACCAACACTTATCACACATGTATCAGTACAACTTTCCAAACTGACTGATTCTAGCATATTTTTGAAAGCTCATTGTCACACTGCAATCAGAAGAAATACTGTAGTTGTTTGTGAATCCAGACTGTTTCAATACTGGTTCAGGCTGAAGTGGTTTGTTAGCTTCCCAAAACCAAGTCTATTCAAGCTGTATGTAGTGGTCAGGTACACCCAGAGATGCACTATGGTCTGTTCATTTACATCAGCAGGACCAGATGTTTCTCTGGAAGCAATTAAAAGGAATATCTGCATGTAGCTCGTGATGCGAGGAAAGGAGACAGGAACCTTGCTAATGTGATTATTGTTTTAGTATGATAATGAACTAGTATGTTATGGAATGTCATAATATAGAGATGATTGTTCCTAAAAATGTAGGTATAAGATGGATTGCAGTTATTGCTCATCAAGAAAGTTTATTGCTTGATTTTGATTGGTAGTTGCTCAGTTTTCAAAAAAATGAGCTGGCCTCTCCTTTTTAGCCACTCTAGCAGTCTCCAGGGGTGGTCTAAAAAGCCACACTTTGTTTACAAACATTTGGCTGAGGTGTAAACCAAAGTAACGGAAACTGATTGTATACTGAAATAGGTTGTATTTCCAGAGGTCATCAGGAAAACAGTGAAAATGCAGCTGCAAATACAGAGCTGGTTTAGGTATTTGATTATGGGCAAAGTAGTTTTATTGAATACCAGATCAAACTGATAAATGAGAGAATTCTCAGTAGATTAATGTGCTATAATTATTGTTTTGAGTTCTATCTAGAAAATTACGAAACCTGTAGATCACAGAAATGCTACTGCAATTACTTCTGATTAACATTTCTATTCTTTTTTTTTAAACAAACATCATGCAAAAAAATTATTATTATCTAAGAACTTTTAGTTTTAATCACCTAAACCCACTACAACTAATGACTATTAGTACCCTGATTCTGTAGCAGTAAAGGTAGAATGAAATTCCTGCACTGCAAAAGTATGCTAGTAATGGTAAGCCCCAGTGAGAGACTGCTCATGCAGTCACTAATGTGACACTAACGCTGCTTGTCCTCTCACTTTCTTTGGATTACTCTGGGCAAGAGTGGTCTAGAGTTGCTGAAAAGGGTTTTCTTTGTTGTTGTTTATTTGTTTGCTTGGCATACTCTTTCTGTACTTTGCTGCATATGTTGCTTCTCTGGAATATGTTTGCCATATGTGAAAAAAATATTGCTACTTTGTTTCCCAAAAGGCATGTGCATTTGGCAAGGGTTTCACTGTCAGTAGGTTTTTGTTTACAGGAAAGTTTATGCAGATTAAATCTCTAATCCAGAGCTATCTGAAATACCTGACTCCAGAGTTTTCCCACATTTTACCGTCCTTTCCAATACAAGCAAGAGATAAAAGCCTGGACAATATTAATCACAGATTCCTGGGGGAAACTGGTGAAAACAGATACCTCTCATGTTATACTAGATCCAAAAGGTGCTGCTATGGTAAGGATACAGGTGAAGTTGACTTGGGGTGCCAGAACTGATTTGAGTGATGTCCTTGCCTTGCAACTGAACTGAAATAAAAGTGAGAGAAATTTTGCATGAACTGATTTTATTGTATTGTTTAGAGGGCACAGGGCCTATGTTCTTGTGTATTGGGTAAATCACAGCCAAATTAACTAAATGGAAAGTGCAAGTTTCATGAAAATTATTTTTATATGCTTCAGAATTTACCATTTGTAGATTATATTTTTCTATAGCGTGTATAAACAGTAAGTTAATGGCTGGCTGTATATTTGTCTCCCTAAATTGCAGTTCCCCAAATACCTCCCATACTCTAATTGTCATAAACAAACTTGAGCCCGAGCTTAGGGAAGTAGTGGATACAAAGAATAAGTGATGATAACTGGAAAATATTTAGAAGCAAGAAGGATGATGATGAATAATTAGAGTAGTGTTTGGAACCACATTGTCTGTGAAGGGTTATAAACAAGCACATTTAATTAGAGTATCTAGGAAAACACAATTGTGGAATATGTTGGACAGTAGAATGGCCTCCCAGTGAGAGAAGCTCTTTCATTACAGATTGTTTAATTATATTTTCTTAAGGAGAAAGGCAAGTTATAGAAGAATGACAATTCAGTAAGAATAAAAATAAGTGCCTATTTCAAAATTATACATTTTTATTTGGAGTACATCTGCAAAATATATGAAACCCTCTTTGCTCTTAGAGAAAATAATGTCAAGATATGCTTTAAGTGGCTGCCTTTGCCTACTAGGCATAAAAAAGAAGTAACAGAATAATAACTTATGCAACGTATCATGAGAATGTTAGAACAAAGGGAAAATATATTCCTTAAATTGTGCCATAAATGATAAAAGCTGTAGCAGTCATCTTTCATAAAACTTAGAATGTTTTATTAAAAACAAAAAGAACTATAGGGTGTGGGGGAGGGGGAAATAAGAAAGACAGGATGCAATCTACACACATGGTAAACTTATATGGTGTAAGCCATTTTCTCTGATTCCTGGTGGGTACAATACACATTTCAGTTTTTACCCATGACCATCTTGTATCTCATCTGTTTCACAGTTAAAACAATTTTAGAAACTTGATTTTGCTTTTATGTGGTCTCAGACTGTTCTTCCTGTCCATCTACCTATTGTAGTAGACACATGCTAAACGTCCCAAGAGAAACTAAAATTCCATCAGAGTTGATTCAGCAGGCAATGGTTGATATGCTGCAAGAACTCTTCTCTGAGGAGTCCTATGAGTTTCTGGACAACGTAACATTCAGTTTCTGGGCGGAAAATTGCAGTTTTCAGCCTTCTGGATA